TGTAGATACAGATAGACCTTGAAGGCTTTTGAACAGTTAGTCAATTCGTCTGGAGTAGTGGTTGTTAGATCCTTTTTCGATCGACAGATGTATGTACGTTAGATGAGACGGATATCCCACCATGGTCGTCGCTTGCGTAGCACACCAGGCGATGCAGGTACGCCTCGGCCCGGTCATCCCGGGGAGAAGTTGCAATTCTCTATGAATAGGTAGGCAACAGGGAGGCTTTTGATTACGCTGTTATCACTAACCAACATTCCAGATTCTTTGCAAAGATGCCCACAGATAGACCCATCCAACGCGGATCATGGGGGATCGAGATTGATCAACCAATCCACATACCCCCTGGAGATCCTATCGCCCTTCGTCATGAAACGCAGAACCCAGATATTGCTCTAGACCGATACCACCTGCGCGTAGACTGGCAGACTCGAGTCTCCGACGACTCCCGGTATCCGGTGCTGTGGTGTTCAACTTTAAAGTGTTGTTCACTCCGGTGACCCAGTTCCGCAATGAACCGTACATACATTTCCTCTTTCTAAAGAGCTACAGAGAGGCTAAGTCGGGTCTGTTGACGCACAAGAATACATGGAATACAGAAGCGACTGTGCTACCTGCATTGGAGCTCTGGGAGAGGGAGCAGAACGAGCAAGGCATCATTCCCAGAGATTGGCAACCTGCGACCTTGGATGACTACCCTTACTACCCTGGATGGGAAGAGCGTTGGAACGCAACTCAGAGCGTCTAGAGAGACCACTATACCCCCGTGGCCACCACTTTTCAAGAGCATGCCAGCATACTGGTTTACAAATCCATTTCCTGCTTATGCCTATCTGTTGTTGATGTCTATTTCGCCTTTTTCGTTGCTGTTTTCGCATTTGGTTTCTGTTGTTCAATGTCACGTCAGCATATCAGAATTCAAGGCTACATTGACTACTATATGCATGGAGACCAACATTCATGAATATATTTTAAGCAGTTTAAAGCTTATCTCCAGGTGCTCATTTTATTGCACTAATCCGGAATAGCGTCCCCAAACCCTAATGCCGATGCGGGGAAAGACCCATCAAACTGATAACGATATTGATCATTGAAGAACCAGAACAGCCATCATAGAGCGACAAACACATACTGTCGTTCTCTATAGCCTTTCACCAGTAATAATGACCAATGCCCATTCGAGTCTCTCTATCCCTACCCTCAGAAATGCCTGTCTTCGATGCCTCCCCTCTAACGGCCGGAAACCAGCGCCCAAAGAAAAAGCCACGGAGAGTAAAGGGTAATATCTTCCTCCAGGCGAAAGTTGCAATTGATTAAGACCCTCTACAGGCTGTTACAATTGTCCCAGCGCCGTCTGAACTGTGACCGCGGCACCCCGTGCCAGAAATGCGTCAAAAAGGGGCTCCAGTGTTCCGGTCTCGGGGTACGGTATCGGTTCATAGATGGAGTTGCATCGAGGGGGAAGCTAGCAGGGAGGCCGATGCCTGTGTCAAATGCAAAGTGAGACATACAACATTGCTCTGTTTACTCGGGCACGGTTAATTCTCTCATCCAGCAGTTCTGGCGCATCCCTTCAACCACCGGATCGCTCAACAGTACACCAAATATCTACCAAGCCTACTGGTTGCAATGATACCAGCTCTCCGAGGGAGGAGTACCATAGACACAAACGATCACCTCGCTTGCTAATGCTGAGTAATGATATATTATCACACAAGCCGAGCTATTCTTCCTTTGAACCTGCCCCGTCTCATGGTTTGGATCATATTGACCACCAGTCTCGATTCCTACTCAAATACTGTTAGTCCTCTTTTGATGGATCAGTCGCGGATAGATTCTAAGTGATAACATAACAGTTTCGGAGAAAGTTGCGCCAGCAATGGGTCCCTTCAACACCGTCTTCAACGGCTATCGAGATCTGATTTTACCTCTGTCAGAGCAAGACCATACCGTCCAAAGCGCCGTGTTAGCCGCCGCCGCTTCCCATATCTCTTTAAGGCATTATGATTGGAAGTCACCAGCTTCGAGGTATCGGATGGCAGCCATCCGAGGATTAAATCAGCGGAGCACCGCCGAAGACCTGAACAAATCGATCGATTACTCGAGTCTGTCAACTATGGTCCTCCTCCTTGTAGAGCAGATGATTATAGTGGGAACAGACTTCCATATCCTCCTTCGGATGATGAAGAGCTTCATAGAATCCCAGCGGTGCTTAGACATAGCCGAGACGGAACCTCTAGGAACATTCCTGATGCAGCAGATAAGAAAGTACATACAGCCTTTCCTACAGTCCTCTTGGACCTTACGCTTACAGCTATAACCTAGGATGTCTCTGTACGCAGGACCATTAGTAATGGGCCTCTCCGCGGCGAAAAGTCTCGAAAATATGTCTAACAAAGACCTGGACTTCTTGTTCAGCTGCCTTAAGATCCATCCGGAGTATTCTTCCGTCATTTTCAAACTAGCCAATCTCATCCGTACGGCAGCTCAAATATACTTGAGTCGGGCAACCAACACACCAAACCAGGTGATCACGGAACTGGTTCAGCAGTTCCTCGCAGACACCGCTTCTTACAACGCAACTTCACCGGGGGGTCATATTCTGATTTGGCCTTTTTTCATAGTTGGGGCAGAGTGCTCGTCAGAGCAAGACCGGGAGTTTGTCACCATGCAGTTACAAAGTCTCGGGGATTGCACGGGCTTTGGAAGCCCGCTGTATGCGATCAAACTGCTGAAAGATATATGGCAGGAAGCCCCAGGGACAAATTGGACGCAGACCTTGGTGGATAAGGTAGAAGGGTTCATTATGTAATTAGGGCGCGCTCCTGAGATCTTGCTGCACTGAAAGTACTTAATCTACAGTTTTCCACCTCGGAGATCGTGAATGTTTCAGAACGCCTCTTTGCTGTGTACCATACTTTGCACACATTATGGTCATTCAGGACCCCTCTCAAGACATAACTGGAAGCTAAGTTGGGGTTTAAAGCACTTCACACTTAGCCTCGGAGATAGGCTTTTGCAGATTCTCCCCAAACGGCAGCCCGTTTATAGAAATGAAAGCCAGGCGCGTTTCCCTGCTTCAAACCGTCAATTGCCTCGGCAAGAACGTCGCCGAGCCCTTCTTCCTTGATTTCCGGGAGTGTGTAGAGAAGGGTTTTGAATGAGAAAAGTATCGCACGGCTTTGAGGTAAGCGGTGCAGAAATTGTCTCTCGACACGCACACGAGCCTGGTGGTCTGTTAGCCCACATTTGACACAGATATATCTATGAAACGTACAGTATTTATATTAACCTCTTCTTGAGGGATCTCTTCACCCTCGTAAAGGTGGTTCCCAGACGCCGTGAACAGTTGGTCTGTAGTCGTGATGGTCCACTGGAGAACAGTCAGACGCCAATCTTCAAAGTCAAATAACAAAAGTACAGGTACAGGTCAACTCACATTGGCGCGTTTGATAAACCTGCCTACCCCGAGTCTTTGGAAAAAGCGATCCATGCTCTTCTCCAGCTTTTCTTTGTACTGGGGGACAGGCTTGTGTATGTCCCGGAGTTTAAGGCCCAACTTCTTCGAAGTGTTGAAGCCATTGGGAAAGCATGTCACGAATCCCCTGAGCGTAAAGCCGTCTCCATCATCAGATGGCATCAGGAAAAGGAGGTCATCCTCAACCAGACCGCCCATGGCCCGCAGGCTATCCAAGGGGTCCTGTTCGGGGGAAAGGGAAAACGTCTCACTAGTAACCAGGCTATACAAGGATGCGGGCTTCTCCCCAGCAGACGGCTGCAACTGAAACAGACGAGGGTATCGTGTTGGCAGATATGTTCCCACCAGCCAGGTGTAGAATTCATCGACCGCGGGCTTGACACAATCCTCAGCGGCCAGAACCGTCTCAGGATGCTCAGCCATGATCCTCTTGCGAAGTTGTATACGATCGAGATAGTTCTTGTCTATTTCGATAAGCTCGCTGACGGTCCCTTCTTGGATGCCTGGGTTGGAGATAGGTCAGCACTGTTAGATTCACGGCGTGCTTATTACATACTCATGGTTAAATGGTATTTAGGCTTGAATGGCCGGATCCTGATCGGCTCCTTCGTCTTCCAGTCAAAGTCTGGGAGAGGCTCGACCGGTGGGTAGCAGTTTGGCTCGACCGCATCTTGGTCGTCATTTGCGACACTCCTGGTGAATTTATTATTCTTCTGTCGCGTGGCTAGGAAGAATAAGCAACTAGAGATGAAACTGAAGTAAAAGCATGTGGACCATCCCGGCCACTGTACAGGGAGACTTTGGTTGAACATTGTGAATAGTCAGATCTCAGATTGACGGCGAGAATAGTATGCTGCTGAGGAGAGTGGGTATATATATATCTTCAGGATCAAGGTAAAAAAAAGACAATTCGATGCCATAATGTGCCATCACATTTCCCTTAAATACGGCAATCATCGTGCTCAATCCCCCCACCATTATCGTACATCACATCTAGTGCTCATCCAACCTGCCTATTCAGGCATTCCCTCTTTATCATCCATGAGTCGCAGATAAAGATAAGATGCGGGGGACGGCCTTGACCCCACATCACCTGGCCAGCAACTGCCCATTTATTAACTCTGCTTGTATGGGATAAGGTGGACTTCTGGAGCATTGATGCAATCGAGAATTACTGGATGCTCGATCGAATACCTTATCTGGGAAATTTTGGAAGCTGCATCTCCTACCGCCGTGTTTGGGCTACGACCGGAAAAGCAATCCGGCTGCTGGAAGCGTAGGAGAAACCATCTTCACTGCATTTATGGTGCTACACGCCATATTGTATACAGTACACGGTTTAGTTTCCGACAGTTCGGTGCTGTAATGGTTTAATGGGGTGCTCATGGCGACCAAGTTGGACCAGCCAAATGGAAGTGTTGTCGTCCGCACCGTAGGGTATACTATATTTGGACTTCATAGGACATGCTTATATATTCGACATCTGTGATACCAGATCATGAATGAACCCCCCTTGAATGGATAATGCAAAGGATCCTGAGAGACTACCTTGGTTTGCGGCCCAAGTCATGCAGTATTTCCTCCGGATTTTGGTAAGGGTGGGTGATGTGAGTTGGTCAGGGTCTCTCACAAGGGCCACGAGAATTTCCAGACAATCAACACCGGACGGACTCTGTCGAAAGCTGTTCCCTAGTCTCCCCCTCAACAACTCTTCAGTCGGTGCACGAATTCTTGAGCTGAAGCGGGGGATCATACAGAAAATACGATATTGCTTCAATGCTTCTTCACATGACACGGAAGCGATGCCAGCAATAGTCAACGCTCTTGTGCAGTTGGTCTAGGTCGACCACAGTGTGCCACAAAGCAAGCGGGAGCTGTTTAGAATGTAGGAGAGAAAGAAGTAAGAGACATACATACAATACAATACAATACACCTTGTGTTGTTTGTTTTGTTTATTGGTTAGATAGCTCGAGGGAGGAGAGAGAGAGAGCACAAAAAGTCAGAAAAAGAAACGAAAAAGAATCGACACCTGTGAGATTCGAACTCACGCCCCCGAAGGGAATGCCTACGCTAATCCAAATACGGTATAGCAGGGCATCGCGTTAACCACTCCGCCAAAGTGCCTTATTGGTTGGTCTGTGGTGGTTTCAAATATATAATAGGGATAAGGAAGCTGATACTATATAATAGGGGTACATACTGAGAAACCACGTTAGTTGCAACCCCGTTATCTGCAATACCCCATTAGTTGCAAGCACCACAGCGGCCACATTCAATTTCTCATACAAATTTGCAGAAATCCCAATAACCTGGGACTTGCAAGCATAATTTCAGCTCCCCGTATAAATTTGCAAGTAAATAGGGTATTAAAACTTTATTTCAATATTATTTTTCTATATTTAGGCCAAGGCACGTATCTATAGAGAGGTAATCTTTCCTAAAATAGTAAGCCCAAAAAGTAAGCGAAGGCGGTAAAGGAATTGGCCAATAGAAGTACCCCTCGTTAATTGCAATACCCCGTTCATTGCAAGCTGCGGCCCTGGATCCTGCAGGAATGGAACTTTTTTTTCTTTATTATATTAGTATGGATACAGTATGTGATTAAAACAGATAATCAAAGATTTCTCAAGATATCCATCGTGCGTACTATTATTACTGATATAATATACTAGCGGACAGAGGTCTGTTGTTTAGCCAAGCATATACCTTCTTCACCATGTAAATTATTACGTGATGTTAGATAGCTCGCCCTGCACAGGAGCATTTCAACTTGCAAGAGATGACTCCGTACAGTAACTCCCAATTGCACACAGCAACAACAATGTTGCCGAACAACAAAAAACGACACCTGTGAGATTCGAACTCACGCCCCCGAAGGGAATGCCTACGCTAATCCAAATAGGGTATAGCAGGGCATCGCGTTAACCACTCCGCCAAAGTGCCAGGATTATTACGTAATTTCCCTTTTGAAATAATTATAATAATCAAGGCCAGGAATAGTATCAGATAACATACAATTCTACTCCATACTCTGTACAAAAATGTGAATCGCATGTGCCGTTCTTGGCGCATATTATACCAATATAAGTAATAGATACTTCAATTCCGCTGGCTTAGCTGCCTAACCGCTTACCTCTTCAAGTCCAAGTTCCTGGACAGAGTCAAGACTCATGCGAGAAGCGAGATAGGGTCAGAGGTGGTAACCCCCCATATATATTCACTGATGTAGGGGTTTGGTGTGAGCATTGAGAAATTAGAATACTTTCCTAGCCTGCCTGTCCTTGTAATAATTGGCAGCTCTTATATGTATATCTATAACCACTCTGGGTGTCTACAGGTCACGAGATGTCAACTCTGTTCAAGCGCATTGGCGTTTCTTTTAACATTGAGCTCCTAGGACGAAGGAGATAAAGGGTCGGGAATCTCTGTTTGAGTTACGATACCAGAGCGTAGCTATTGTCTGGTGTGGAAATTTTTAAGTTTTTCCAAGAAGTAGGCTAGCGTTATGCAGGCTTTTCAATGAAAATTGTTCTAATAAAAATGTAAGAAGTTCAAGTCGAAGAGAGTTTTAACCATAACCATTGCAAGATAATGACATACTTACTAGTCCTGGTAGTGCTATAAGCAAAATGTAGTTTTGGAGGAACCCAATGAGCACTAGTTCCTCTATACATTATCAATCGCATAATTCAACTAGTAAGGCACTATGGCGGAGTGGTTAACGCGATGCCCTGCTATACCCTATTTGGATTAGCGTAGGCATTCCCTTCGGGGGCGTGAGTTCGAATCTCACTGGTGTCGCTTTTTTTATGTTACTTTTTTCTTTAAATTAAATTGAATCTTTTTCTTTACCCTCTCTTTATGTTAAATAATATCTTCTAATTGGTGTCTAGACGGGTCAACTAGAAGGATACTGACTACTAAGGTAGAGAATAATAGATAATAAGCAACAGAAGGTTGATTCTTGTCTATCTTCTCTAGCAAAGATATACTAATTTATATAGCCTAAGCCTAGCTCACTGTTAGTCAATAATAGGGGCAACCATTCGCTATGAAAAAACCAACAGATCCGGGAGGCCGTCGGTGTCGAAAGCCACCGAGATGTTTATGCAAGGGCCAAACAATGTATATGTTACAGACCTCGCAACTACCTTGTCGAAGGCGGACACATAAGGTAGAAAAGCTATGAGGATGGCTATAGCGGGTATACAATAATACGATTAATAAGTGGCTGATATTAGGTATGTTATATAACCTCACGTGAAATAGTATACGCGCTAAGTAATGATATACCATAGACCAAGATAGTATATAAAGACCAAAAATATATAAGAACACATATTCCTGTACCTAGTTTAGTTCTTCGTGATCAATCCCAATTGTTATCACAGAGTTACCTATGGTAAAACTAGCCTCAACTCGTTTGCACTCTTTTGACTACCAAGTATACGTACTCGATAGGCCTGGCCCTTTGACCTCAAGTCTAGTCCCGACGACGACCCAACTTCGACGGCAGTCCTGTAACGACCACACCCTAGTTACGACATCAGCCCCGTACCAACGGAAGTCCCGTTACGATCTTCGTCCTGATAAGACCGCAACACTTTGTCAACGGCAGTCAAAGAGCGACTGCAGGTGGGTGATAGTACACGCGGTTAGCTTACTGGTTTAGGACTTGACGACGAAGCCCCGAGCGTAACAGTATACTGTACAGTCACTAAGCTATATATATATGCAAGCCGCCGAGCAAAACGAGGGAATACGGCTTGATGTTCACTTGGTAATAGTTGATATAGGTAGAAGTAAAAGATTGATATCATTTCTATAGATTTTATAGATAGAGCAGTAGTAAATAGTTTAAGCGGGTCAGGCAGATCAGATATAAATGAAGCCCGGAGGTAGAGCTGTACTCTGTAGAAGAGAGAATTACGGATAGACAAAGTCACGGAGCTGTAGAGGGGAAATTACGGGCGCAGTGTAGATAGAATACAGCACAGCATAATGCCAGGAGATTGTTAGTTATACTAATACGGAGTAGATTTGGGGTGTCAGCTCCGACTGCCGCAGGATTTAGTGCGAAGGGGTCAGGGTGAGGTAAGACAGGCAGCTCTGACTCTCTCAGAGCTATTCACATGATCTTTAAAACCCTGAATCAGTCAGATCTTATCCACGTGATTGTTTAGAAAAATTAAACTCAGTATAATATAGGTATAAAAATTCTAAAAAATATATAAAAAATATTACCGGAGTAGATTAATATTTTAAATTTTTTTTTTAAAAAAAAAATTTATATATATAGTTAGTATTGAGATAAAATAGAAAAAAGCTCTCTCTGGCTGGGTCAAAATTGTATAAATTCTAACCCAGTCAGAGTTTCTGAGGCAGTCAGAAGAGTGTACGGAGGGAGTACTCCGGGGTCTGACTGCTGTTTCTCAAGATCCTGACCACTTCGCACTACATCATCCAAAAAAAGCGACACCAGTGAGATTCGAACTCACGCCCCCGAAGGGAATGCCTACGCTAATCCAAATAGGGTATAGCAGGGCATCGCGTTAACCACTCCGCCATAGTGCCTCTTATGTTGCTCTATTTGATGATATTCTTTACAGACCTGATTTGGAGAGGGTCTACCTACCTCATCAACACTCCCCACACTCAGTTTTTGCATGTCATGCGTGGCTGTTTTCTGGCCTAGGCATTAGTTTCCAGCTCGGTGATAATAATCTAACTGGTAACTTTAGTTTTAATTTTCTCAAAGCTATGTTACAAGTTCACAATCTTACACAGCCGCGTTGCTATATACTGCAAGAT